TGCCCATGGCAGGGGAGCAGAACTGGGTGATCTTTAATGTCCCTCCCAATCCAGACCATTCTGATTCTAGGATTTTTTTTTTTTTTTTTTTTTTTTTTGTTTTTTTTTTTTTTTTTTTTTTTTTTTTTGCTGTAAACCAAACCCAAGTTCAGTTCACCGTTTCTCAAAGAAATCTGGAGCTCTCAGCCCTTCTGTTAGGTAACTGGCTACCTCTCTGCATCAATACTTAAATTACGCCTGGGAATGAGGTTGGACTCTTAGCTCTGTGAGTCAAATAGATCCCCCTTGGTCACAGAACAGTTTTAGGTGACCTCTGGGTTATCATGAACAAATTGCCATGGCTAAATGTGCCATGGCTTCTGCTGTCTTCTCATGGAGAGGGAAAAATTGCTTRACCAAAAAAAGGGAGACTTCACCAATTTCCCTTAAAATGAAAAGACCAGGTCTGTGAGGCTGCAATAAGKTATCAACATGTCATTTTCTCTCATTCCTGAAAGGATCTGGAGGGGTTAACTGCATGTGTAAGCTGAGAGTAACTGAGATGTCCACTCGTTTCTTAGCTTTCCCTATTTAAGTTAAAAAAAAAAAAAAAGAAAAATAAGCAAAAAAGGCTCTTGCTCAAACCTGGCAAAGCAGGCAACACAGCTTAACAAACAGGCTTATCTCAAGTGCTCTTTAATAAGAATGTTTATCATTTATTTCTGGAAAATATGCTGAGCMCGGAATGCTGAAAGCTCTCCGTGGTGTTTGACCTGCGTCGTTCAAAGCCAGGCATGGGGTGYGTTTGGGAGGGTGATATTTTGTCTGGGGTGTCCCAGAGTGCAGGGAAAAGGTGCTGGTTTTCATTTGTAGATGTGCTCATTTAGGGCCTCCATAGGAAAACAGATTTCCCTGGGAGGCAATTTAATTATCTGGGAGAAATCTCTGGATGTGCTCAATTTGGTTTTAAAGAGGTCATCAAGAATGGTCTTGGAGGAGGTTCTTGGTCTGTGAGGGATGAAGTTGGGTGGCTTGAAGCTCTCCTGAAGCAAAGTCCACAGGAATTCCTGCGGTTTCTGTTTGAGTGGGGTGGGAGGTRGACAGGCACAGAGCCCCTGGAGACGCTGCCCTGTCTCCACTGTGGCCAACCCACCCCATCCAGTCAAATTGAAAATTCCCAAGAGAAGCTATGCTGGATCAATGAACCCATTGCATGAGGGTGCCTTTCCTCACTGAGGACAGAGGTATGGGGAGGCTCTTGCAGGGTTCCTTTAGGAGCAGATTTCTCTGCACAGCCCATGGAAGGTGGAAGGTCATCCATAGCAGTTCCAGTGAAAGGAATGGTTTTTCCTGTCAACAGTGTATCCCTGAAATCTGTTCCCTTCTCCAGCATGATTACAGCCTTGGAGGCTGCAGGACTGTCCAACAGGCTCCCAACCTCAAGTATTAACAGAGGAAGGAATGAATGGAATTGGCAAAACCAACACAAATTTTTTAGGACCTACTGGAGACACTGTGAAAAGTCATCCCTTTGCCATGGTGGGTTTTTACTGCTCTGGAGAAAGAGACTGGGTCCCTGTCCTGGTGCTTCTCAGCTGAGAAAGGGACTCGTGGCAGTTTGAGTGGATTTGTTTYATTCATGTTTGGGTTGTCACCTCCCACGGAAGCTGTGCATGGGTGAAATGGTGACAACACAGGTGACAGCTCTTCTTCCAAAGCACACAGTTCCTGTCTCCCAAGAGGGGGACTAKTATTTACCCTCTATTTCTCCCCATTTGAATTTCAGCCCATGATATGAAACACCATCCCATCAAAACTGTGGAACGGTGGGAAAAAGCACCCAAACACAGGTTAGAATTAATGCTTTTTTTTTTTTTTTAATTTTCATTATAAAGTTAACACATCTATCAAACTTAACTGGTAACAAAAAAACAGTTACAAGACATTGCTAATGTGCTGTCAGTAGAAAATAGGGTAAAAGCCAATGAGGTCACAAGCACAACAGCAGAGCAACAACACTGTCCCGATGAGTTATTTCCGCAAATATATACTCTTGCTAATATATACATTTATTCATAAAATAAATAATCATAAAAAATCATCAGACTTAACAAAATACTGAGAGGAGGGAAAAAAAAAGGTGACAATTCTACTTTGTACAATAGCTTTGGAATTTCAGGTTGTATCATACATGCAATCTGTACAAAGGGGTGCTGGGGTGGGGTGAGGGCAGGGGTTACAGACGGCGATGGAGCTTTGAAGAAGGCGATGTAATCAGGCAGGCAGTCTGTGGGAAGGGAAAGCAACGGTGAAAAAACCCACTCACAAGAAGATACTTGTCCCTGAGCGCCGGACAAGCGTGTTTTTTACAGTGGGGGAATCCCCTGCGGTGCTCTGGGTTTGTGTTTTATGACTTCCACACTGCTGGTGGGCTTGTCAGAGAGTCCAAAGCTATGACAGGTCGTGTTCAGGCAGGTTTGGCCCTGGGAGGGACAGAAAGCGATGCCATAAGGGATTCACTCAGTGGGTCCCCATTGGGATGAAGAGGTGATGCCTGAGCTGCTGTCAGCTGGAGACAGGAGCAGTAGGACAGCCAGGACTACACCAGAGACTGAGCAGAATTTTATCTCTACTGAAGGATTTTGGAGTTTTTTCTGACTTGAAATGACTCAGGTCTCTTGTGCTTTCCAGGTGGTAGCAGCAGGCGGAAAGTTTTGGGAAGGAGCTCTGACACGATGGTGACATCCCTCAAAACCACGGTGACACTCAGCTGCTTGCTCAGCCCCTGCCTGTAGCAGACCTGCCTTCAGGATTTTTGGTGGAGTGGAATGAATGGAGAGAAATAAATAAATACTAATAAATAATAATAAGAAACTTGGAAAAGGAAGGGAAACGGGGAAAGCATCTCCTCACAGTTTCCCCAATTCCATGCAGGGCTGTCCAAGGCCTCCCTTGGGGTGCAGAATATGTGTAAGAAAAGGTCTACAGAGACAGAGGAGGGGACCAAGTCGTGTGGAAAAGACCCCTGTGGCTTCAGGAACCCTCTCTGTCTGGATAGTGTTCACCTGAGAGCAGGATGCCCGTGGATGCCTTGGTGGACCTGTCCATGTCCATTTCCTGCTCCCCAACAGGACAAGCGGAGTTGYTCCTTTGGGGTCAAACCCACAACAAACCAGGCAGTGAAGCAGATTCAAATAAATATTTTTATGGAATAAGTCCATCCTCTGCTCTCTTTGAGACACCTGTACCTGATTCATGTCAGTCTAAGTGAGAGGAGAAGTGAGGCCATGCTCAGCTTTCCTTCTCAGAGAACCCAAAGAGAGTTAGGAATYTGGGATCCTGCCCATGGATGAAAACACACACTCGTGGGTGTCCACAAGGCTGTGTCTGCATGGGAGTTAGACATCTAAACACCCATGTCTGATGGAGAAGCTCTGCATGGATCTGTCAGATGTGCCCTGAGATTGAAGGGAAGCCCACATTCTTCCAGAGTTGCTTTTAGGAGCCAGTGGGGTACCCTGGAGCATCCCAGAAGGCTCTAGACACATATTTCAATAATTTAGTTCAGCCCTAAATGCTGAGTTTAGGCAAATGGAGCCCCTAATTTGGCTTGTATGGGAGTTTAAGCACCTAGCTCCCATGCAGATACCTGCCTTCAAGCACCCCACTTTGTATCCCAAATCYCACTCGAGGTCCCACTGCCTGGGAACCAACTCCTGGTGTTCTGTTTGTGCTTGAGAAAGATCTCCTCCTCCCGGGTGGAGATGCACCCAAGACCCCTCTGGAACTGCAGCAAAAGGGGAGCAGATGACGTGTCTGACCCCATGAAGACCCTGGAAGGGGCAGGAATGAGGATTAAACATCCCTTTTTTGAAATGGAGGCAGAGGAACCTCCATTTCCCATCAAACTGAGGGATCTGCACCCCACAGGTGTTAAAAGAGACCTGAGCCAGGGGGAGAGGAACTGCAAATCGAGAACTTCTGCTGGAGCACACAAGGGAGGGTGGGAAACATGAGATGGAAGGGTTAAGCGATGACTACAACAATGCAGGCAGATCCCACTGCTGCTTCCAGTGAGAGAGAGGAAATCTGAAAAGAGAGATACTCCCAAAACAAGGAGTCCCTGCTGAAACAGACAAGATTGAGCTTGGAGGAAGGTAGAAAATAGGAAACTGTAGGTAGAAGAAGAGATGAGATCTCATCCTGTCCAGCCCGCCTTCTCTCCCATCACCCAACACTCTCTTACAGCTCCTCATGCCAACWGTTGGAGCACAGGAACAGCAGATGGGAGCAAACATCCCCCTCACTCTGCCGCTTCCCAGCAGCCTGGAGCAGATCCCTGTAAGAGCCAGGAGCTGTTTTCCTGTGAGCAGGCTCTTGAACCAGGTGCAATGGCTGATGTCTGCAGGATTTGGTGCCTCTCATGGCCCTGTTTTCATCTTCCCAAACGGAYTTCATTAAAGCATCAAGGGAAGCCTTGACAAATTTCCAAAGGGCAGATCCTGTGACTGGATTCACAACTCCCAGCTCCTGCAGAGTGCTATAACCCTGGATATCCCCAACAACATAAAACACCATATTTTCAGCACTTGAAAACAATCTAAAAAGAAAAGAGAGGCAAAGCTCAGAGTGTTTTTCCTGCATACAGATTTAGGGATGGGGCCATGACATGAACCCACACGAGAAATGTAACATAACCCATGGATATCTCTGTGGCAGTATATCTGAATGCACTGAAAACACCAGAAATATTTGAGACTGAGAGGCTGAAGAAATTATTCTCTGAGGTTTGCTAATACAGAAATCCTGCAGTGCTCAGCTGAGACGACAGCACTGCAGGRCTGATGTTGCCAGTGCTGACTCGGGGATTTTTGTACCATGTTGCATTGTGTGGTGTGGTTGTTTCTGCAATCCCYTCCAAAAATTAAACCCTGACTGCCTTAGTTCTGCATGTGAAGCTCCTCCCAGGGAGTAAAAGCAATTCTGGAGGCTTCAAAATGCTTTGGAGGAGAGACAGGAGACTGTCAGTGCTGGGCATGACACTCAGCTGAGAGAAACACACCAGGGTCAAGTAACAGAGAATGTCATGCATTTCCCTCCCCATATTTTCATTTTCTTTGAGAAAGAGAAGCCCCCAAATTCTACAACTAAACCAAACCAAGGGAAAAAAACCAAACAAAACCAATCTCCTAAACTTTCCATTTCTTTCATAGAAAGAAAAGAGATGAGGCCAAATTCACCCCCCACAGAATGTGTGTTTTATGGGTTGGATGTGGAACTGACAGGGCCTATCTAAACCCATTTGTTCAGCTAAAGGCGAGGTTGGATAGCAGCAGGTGAGAGGATGGAATTATGTGCCTTTGTCACTTTATTTTTTTACACCTGTGTCACTTGGTTGGGTGACATCTTCTCCCTTTTCCCCTGCCAGACTCACCCCTGGTACAAACCCTCTGCCTGAGGACAAACCTCATCAGGGGACACTGAAGGGAAGGACACCAGAGATCGTGGAGGTGGAGCTGGCCAGCTCCCATCTGTGAGAAAGGAATTATGCTTTCTTTTGGCTACAGATGGGAGCATTACAYCAGGATGGGGCAGAAGGTTTGAAAAACAGGTTTGAAAGCGATCTCCAGAGAAGTGCACAATTCAGCTGCCTGCACCAAGACATCTCAGATCATTTTGGACACCCAGCAGTCTCTGATTGTCCAGGTTTAAGATTTGTGTGGGTCTTAGGCCATTGAAACAACACCTAAACCCTGATGGGATATTGCAGGGAACCTAAAATACCACCAGATGTTTATATTATTGAGTGAAACCCCAGCACCCTGCCATAAGGAAGGTCCTACTCTTTCCACAGGAGCAGCTGAAGCAGGAGGCAGCTCTGGGTGGTGTTTACACCATCTCCTGTAGGGAGGGATGGCACCTCACTAATCCTTGGCTCCGTTTTTCACACCAGTATGGTGGAAACCCTGACTGGAGATGCCCGGTGTCCTCAGCTTTCCAAAGACACCTCCCGAATTCATGTGCAGCAGAGAGTGATTGGCCCAAAACCCTTCTCCAAAACCATGGGGTCAGACACTGGCCCAGCTCTCAGACCCCTCACGGGCTCTTTTCCCTTCTCAGGGATGGGCAGAATCAGACCCAGAACTGGAATTCCCAGGTGCACTGGGGATGAACAGAATTCAACGCAGGCATTTTTCATCGACTTTAGTAGCAGCTGCTCAACCCCTTACATTGTATCATCACAGAGATGATTAATTACATCACAAACCCAAACAAGAACCCATAGGCTTGGTTAAAAACCCCTTGAACTGGGGGGGGAGTCCCCAACCACTGAGCTATTTGAAGCCTGACCCCAGCTTGGAGCGAAGGAGCACAACTTCCAGCCCCTGTCATCTGATGATCACATTGTGGCTTCAACTCCTTGACTCATGGTGGACTTCACATCCTCAGTCTGGACCCAACAAAGAGCTCATCACTTATTCTGAGCTCAGCAGCTGAAGTCAGAGATACACCCAGAGGGTACTTAAACAAAGCTTAGGTGCCATCCTAATATAGTGAACCACCTTCTGGATTTGTTTCTTGCCATTGATCCCAGCAGAAAGTTAGATAAATAGCTTAGACGAGATAAAATAAATCCCACAGTCAAAATTCGTTCACCTCTAGAGGCAATTGCTCAGCAAATGCCCAGTTTCAATTCTTTCCCTCTGCTTCCAAAAAAAAAAGCTTCACCTGCTGGTGATGCTGGGGTTTTCTGGTGCAAGAACAGAACTGGTGGWTGCGAATATGCTGTGGATGGGCTGGGGTCAGATTCCAGCCTCCATGCATGGAAGCCAAATCCTTTGACCCATTTCTTCACTAGTGTGGTACAAAAGGGGTTTGAAAGCACTATGCCTAAAAATCTTGGGGCAAAATCAGTTGTGGGTGTGACCCCGCTGAATGATTTGAATTTTTGCTGTTTGGTCACCATTTATTGACAGAAGTTCCTGGTAGGGCGTGTCTGACATGTCTCACTGTCGCTGCTTGCACTGCATCATATCACATAAATCAGATGATCTTCCCTTATCCCGTCCTCTCCGATTCATCAATGTCCTCCACCCCATAAGTGGTTTTCTGCAGTTTGATTTCTTGACAGATTGTGTTTGAATGTTGGTCCTAGGTTCAATCTCCCCCTGCAGCGCCTTCCTTCTCTATTTCCCATAATGATCAGGTTTTCCTTTTCTCCATTAAGTGAATCAGCCATGCACCCAATAATTGATCTTTATTTAAATTTTCATGATCTGTTGCCTTCTACCAGTTGGTGTGTGGCCATCCATAGGGTGCAGGGTTTGCATGGACAGATACCACAGATTGGTTTTGCCCCCACATTTTTCTTTGCTTCTCTCGCTCTCCTCCTCTCTCCTTCTTTCCCTTCTGTGCCTCTGCTCTCATTTCACTGCAGCTTTTATTATTTTTTTAATTGCAAAGCACTGGTAAAAGTGCCTCCATCAATAAGCAAATCTTGCTCGTGCCCTCGGGCACAGCCCTGAGACAAATGGGTGATGCATAAACTGCACCAGCCTAGGAGTARTCCCAGGAGACGCTGTGACTCAGAGTCAACCCTCGGAGGCATCATTTCCTCCTGTTTTCTTTCTGAGGGGATTAAGCTCTGTTTGTTCCCTTCTTCTTCTGCATGCTCCCTCCTTTGGTCCCTGGGAAAAGGCTGACACGAAGAGAGGAGYCCTCTGATTTCTCTGCACACATTTTCAAGACTGAACAGCCAACAGCCATGATTACATAGCCATGAAATGGGAATTACCTCATGCCCTCCTTCCCTTCCCTGCTGAAGAGACAGAATAAACACCAATCCATTGTCCTTTGTCCTGGATAGCAACCCAAAAGCAGGGGTAGGGCAAAGAGRACACAGAGCAAGTGCATCTGAGGCTAAAACAGGCTGTGACTCCATGCTTGATCTGCCTCTCATTTACCCCAGTATGGACCAGGAATAACTCAAGCAGAGTTACAGTGCTGCAAATACCAAGGTGATGGGCTGCATTTGTGCCTGACACCCTGAAGGAAGTCCCRGTGCCCACGGAGGAGGTGAGACTTGTTTCTGTAAACTGTGATCCTGATCCAGAACTGGAAGCGGAGCAAAATGCAAAGATRGGGAGTCAGGGGTGAGCAGCAGAGATGGGCCAGCACTGCAAAGCTGGGCTTTGGCTCTGTGTCCAAACTCACCCAAACTCTGGGCTGGKTCAGAGTCCGGGTTTTGTCCATTTTAATCTGTGCCACTTTTAAAGGTGGGAGCGGCTGTAGAAATCAGGTGTGGAACAAAGTTTGRCTTGAGTCTGAGACTGCTCCAGCTTGTGGGGCGTGGTGGTGACAGTGGTTTGGTTCACCCACAGGTAAATTAAGGGGTGACAAGGAGTCCTTCAGATGTTGCTGACAGACTCAGGGCTCAGGCTGTTGCCAAATGCCCAGGAAGCCTGAAGGAGGTGCAGAGAGTGGATGGACTAAGTGCACTTTCCACTGTTGGTGATGGAATTCTCCAACGAGGTGGGAAGGGTGAACACTTTCCCTTTCCATCCTTTCCCTGGGGTGCTGAGGAGATGGATGTCCTGTGCCCAGGCCCAGTGAGTGTCTAGCCCTAGGAGATTCACTGCACTGCATCTTTCCAAGGAAGCCTCACTGGCTGAGCCACATCCCAGGCTGGAGAGCTGGAGCAGCATTCCCATTTGTGGGAATGTCTCCTCGATGCACACACTGAGTCCTCTTCACTTCACGTACAAGACACTGAACTTTTCGGCACTGTGCACATCACCTGTGTGCCAACAGGGTATTTGCAGGAAGTCATCAGCAGTTCTCTCTCTTTCTCTCTCTCTTCTCCTGCCTTCCCTTTCCACAGATGTCACAGAATCCTATGTCAAATCTGGCAGAAGCTACTAAGCTAAAAAGTCCATCACAAGAGCTTGCTCGTACTCCAGCTCTATTAGATAATTGTAGACTTCTCTGGTTCCAGGACAAAGGCAAAGAAGTAGWCWGTTCTTTTTTATTTTTAAAAATCCTTAATTTATCTGCTTTTATTTCTTTTGCCGCTGTTGCTCCTATTACACAGTCTGGCCATTTGGGTTTGCAGAGAGATCACTCAGAAAGCTCAGTGCTGTGGTCCAACACAGCCTCTGCTTGACTGAGGGAAAAGGAGATGCTTAGGAAGATGCAAGTCTTTCAAAGGACACTTAATCACACGAGTCACTTCAGGTGGTGAGAGCAGAGCAAACCCATGCTCTTGCCAATACTCTTCTCTCCAGCTCRGTGTTGCAGGCTGGTGGAAAAGCCGCTCTCCCGCCGGAGGCGTCGGCGTTGGGGYGGAACTTGTGTGACTGCCAGATGGACCTCGGGATAGCCCAGAAGTCATTAGACCTATTCTATCCAACCAGTTTTAGCCTTTTTATTTATTTATTTTTTTTGTCCAGTTTTTATTCTTTTAATATCAAAAAAGTAGACTTCTCTCACGTCTGCAACCTCAGAGGAAGTAGGCTCAAAATCCACTTCTCCACTCGGAGCCCGGCGAAGGGTCCTGCCCGCTTTATTTGCACGTGTGGACGTCATAGACTCGTATGCATTCCTGGCAGCGGACGTAGCAGCACCAGTGGAAGATACAGTGGCACTTCTCTTTCCGTTTCTCAGTCCTCGTGTTGTGCCCGCGGCCGCAGCACAAAAGGTCGCAGCCGTCAATCCCGTGGGAAGTGACGTTGCAGATCCTGTCGCGGGTCCCAAAGGAGCCTGTCTCRGGGTTGGGCTCGCAAAAGTTGGGTGAGTTCTCGTAGTAAACCAGGTCCTTCTCAGTGGGGGCCTTGAAGAAGTTGTATTTGGGCCGGAGGGTCTCAACCCAGCCGCGGGATTCCCGGTGCTTTTCCACCACCATTTCCGACGCGCTGTCGTACTTGTCCTTGAGGTAGTCGCCGATGACYCTGAAGTCCGGCTGGGACCACCAGCAGGTCTTCACTTCGCAGCTGCCCGAGAGCCCGTGGCACTTGCACTTGAGGTGCATGAGCTCAATGATGGACTGAAAAAGAGAAGAAAGGCAAAGGAGAAGGAAGAYGTTAACCTGCGATCAGAACACTGATCTCTTTGCCACCGTTTTCTAAAGAAATATAAATGTTTTCATAGATGAATTTACACTATTGTGAACAGAAATCCCCCAGTCAATGCCCTGCTCAATGCTGGATCTATGACATAAAACTTCTGTACTTTACTGTTTTAAGTGACTAGTTCTGATTTCCACCTCAAATTCAAGGATCTCCCAAAAACYTTCACCAAGGGATGAAGAGATTTCTGAGCTTATTAACTTCTGCCTTGTCAGTGTCCATGTGGGAATGTTGCAGTGCTGTCACCCAGGATCACAATTCATACACATCTGGGCAGAGAAGCAAAGAGCAGACAACGCTACTTAAACAAATTAAATGTGCAGCTTTTCCATTGGAAATTAAAGGAATATGGAATGTCCTAACAATCTAGAATAGAATTCCATCCTTTACATATGTTTTGTAGTTATTTAATCAAACAAGGTTCAAGCCTTGCTCTGGCTACTTTCAGAAACTGGAAAGGAATTAAGTTTTATTTTTAAGCCAGTGTTAGGATTTTTCTGAAATCATTTCAAAGGCAAAAATGATAAGTGCCCAGCCTTTGATTTGAAAGGCTCAKGACTCAACACAAAACACTTTCCTGAGATAAATGGGAGAATGATTATTGATCCCAGACATTTGCTATTTGTTTTTACYTCTTATGAAATGAGTTTAATCATTTCTAGAGGTGTTGCCCTCCAGTACTCTTGAGGTGGGAGACAATCTTATGCAACCGGCTTGATAATCTGCATTTTCAGAGTGATCAGCAAATTTCAGTGTACGTGAACAGACGAGTGCCAGCCTGAGCCCAAGAGATTTGCCATGAATCAGCACCTTGGTGCTCACCAGGTGCTTTCCTGTGTTATTTACGGAGTATCACCCGCCGCAAAGCAGGTTGTAATTAGCCGTGAGACAGAACCGCAAAGGTTTGGTTCATATAATCACACTGAACTTAATCAAAACTCCTGGCGGGGTGGTAGGGCTGGAGCTTGTACGGGAACTAAGGTGAAACATTGCCCATGGCTCRGGTTTAGCTGGGAACACTCGAGTATGGAGGCCTGGAAGAGCTGCCCTGTAGGTGCTGGCACGGTGAGAATGGAGAACATCAGTGCTCTCTGAACACTGGGATTTCAGGTCATGGTGTGATATCTGCTCTCTAATCTGGTACCTGTAAAACGTCCTAAAAGAGCTCAGTGTTCAGGGACAAGACTTAGAGTAAAAGACCTCTGCAGGCCTATGATCACAGGGATATTTTCTCTTTTTTTCCACCAAGGATTCTCACTTTAAGGGAAATCCTTCCCTTCCTCTCCATACAGCTTATCCACAGCCCTTTTTGTCCCTTTACATATCCCAGTAACTGCCACCAGCAATGCCCTATCCCTGGGGCTACCTGAGATAATTTACACCAGAGCTGGAGGAAACCACATTATTGCTTGTGGTTGCCCCCACTGCAGACAATTTTGGTCTCTGGTGGTATTTCCCTTCCAAAAGTGGTATTCCTTCAGCTCTGCTGTGGTGTGAGGTGGGATAACTGGGAATTCACAGTATCCACTTGAGGAGCTGTCCCCAACCTGTCTGAGGACAGATGTCCCAGCACAGCCGCTGTGGTGGCTTTGCCATAGCTYAGTGCACAAAGGTCCTCCTGAACACATACAACACCTTCTTCTGAGGGGACAAGACCCCATTAACCTGTCCTCTGTCATCTCAGAGAAGCTGCAGAATCTCTGTTAGAAAGAGATTTGTGGTTCAGTTCCACAAATTGTTTCCCACAAATTACATTCTTCTGCCATTATGGGCTGTTCTCGAGATTAAAAAAAAAAAAAAAAAAGAATATAGTCTTATTGGGATTATTCCACCTAGGGAAAAGTTTCACTGTGTGTAAAATAGCCATTGCAATGGGAAAATTTTGTGCTTTCTTTTCCCCAGTACATATTGTTTCAGGATTGYTTGAACTAAAAAGAGCTTCAGCGCATGGTCCAAGGTTAATCAGGAGGTAACAGAGTCACATTGCCTCTAATTCTGTTTAAATATTTCCAGGGAAATAGAACAGGATTGAGAAGTTTGGTGGTGGGAAAAGCTCTGCTGCTCTTCTGCTCCCTCAAGGCTGCAGAGAAGGGAGTGGACAATTGCACTCAAACTTTAGAAGCTCCACAGACAATGGAACAGGCAGAATTAGGACATTATTAACTGAGTTAATAACTCTAATCATAGAATCACAGAATTATTTGGGTTGGGAGAGACCTTAAAGATCGTTCAGTTCCAGCCACCCTGGCATGGGCAGGGAACCTTCCACTATCCCAGGTTGCTCCAAGCCCTGTCCAACCTGGCCTTGGACACTTCCAGGGATGGGATGTCCGCAATTTCTGTGGGCAGATGTCCTCCTGAGATGGGATGAAATCCCACCCTACACCTGCCTTGCTCCATTCTCTATAAAAGAGCTCTGGACAGCTGGCTCCAAGACAGACATTTTAACTCTGGGTGGGTGAATTTAGGTGGAGCTTTCACAGATCAGGCACAGCAATCTGTAACTATCATAGGACATGGTATTACATTTTGTGATGTAATGTGCCCAGATTCACGTCTTTTGAATCCCCTAAATTCCCTCCCACCCTTCATTACATCAGACAAGAAAATAAAAACAGGAAAKGTTAAACTCAAATGTCCTTACGGTCCTTCCAGCCTCGTTGTTGTGCCTGTTCATGGCCGAGCGAGCGTCGGGTCGGTTCTCCCGCGCGTCTGCGAACTCCCGGGACACCATGCTCCCGAACTCCACGTCCTCGCTGCAGCCCCCCCACTTCCAGCCCTCGCCAGGAGAGCCCTTGTGGCGCGTGTCACAGCCRCAGATGGTGGCCGAGCCCTCGGCGCAGGATCTGGTCACGGCGAAGGCCACCCCAGCGGAGGCGATGGCGTGGACAAAGGCCGACTCCCTGGTGGCTGTGAAAGAGAGCAGTCAGTGAATAACGGCCARAGAAGGACGGATTTGATCAGCCCCRTGAACATCTTCTCTGCAGGGCATGGCACGAGGCCAGGAAAGCCTCCTCTTCCCTGTGGTCTGGCTTGGACCCGCTCCAAAGACTTTCTTTTGCTAGGAAATGAGCTCCTGCGCAGACAGGACCAGGCTTGATCCAAGGCCACTGCGGTCAGCCAAGAAGTTCTGGCTGGGGTCATCCTCAGGTCTTTGGATAGGGCCATGGCACCACAGAAAGCTGTGCAAACCTGAATTTCAGGGGGCATATGGAATATTCTATAGGGTACTTTGCAGTCAGTGCACCATACAGCCACACCAGGAGCTGTGGGCTTGGCCTCTGACATGCAGAATTTGGGTATGTTCCCAAAAAAATGGAAAATGCAGGAATACTCTGAACAATATCCTCACACTGAGTGGTGGGACCAGCACCAGGTAAAGCTCCTTTTCCTTGGCTGGGAGAGGTGCTGGTGGCTGGAAGTCAGGAAAAAGCCAGGATGGCCACATCCTCCGTCCTCACCATGGAAACCAAACCCTGTCCCCACCCTCCATCCTTTTCCCCGAGGCTGCGCTTCTCACTCGATGACAGTTCAAGGTACACCTGGAAAGCCCAAAGCTTTCCTCACTTCCCTCTTAAAGTCCCTACCAAAGGGACTGGAAATGAGCTTCCCTTTTCTGCCCATTGCCTCGGGCTGGTGGGTGGGATCAGCCAAAAGATGTCATGGTTAAGGACTGAGGAAGTTTAATTTCAGTGAAGACCTCCCATCAGARCCTTCCATCCTAGGAAGARGGAAGGGGAGCAGGGAAGGCTTTCCTGGATGGTGGTGCTTTTTCCACACTGTGCCAAAATTAAAACCAAACTTTTCAAACTGCTTTACAAGATAYCAATTTTTATTTCCCTTCTCCCTCCCAGTTTTGGTTTCTTCACTCACAAGAAATCACCCTGGAGTTCAACACCACACCTCAGATGYCACCACTGCTTTTTGGCTGCAGTAAAGTGGGATTTTTGCCATGAACAATTCTCAAGCCTTTGAGGCAATTCYAAGCAGACACAACAATTCTGATAGCTGGCCTCCCTTAACCTCTTTCACTATTCCCCACACACCTTGTGTTTATAAACCAGTTATCTAAGAAATTGTGTCATTTCTGACACCTTTCCATGGGCAAACTGAAATATGAATGGATCCATAAAAGCACAAGATCACATTTTCAGTTGATGCAACTTCACCAACTTCTACTGAGCTTTGTATCAGCTGACTACTCAAAAACCACTCAAACCTTCCCTGCACCATATTTTGCTGATCTGAGCTTTCCTTGGGCATTTTGGCTTAATCTTTACCTTCCAGATGCTTCCAGGCTTCRCTAACATGAAGAGAGTTTAATACACCAAGCCAAAAACTCAACATGTTTTTGGGGTGCAATCAAAACTGAGGAGAAGTCCCGGCTGGATTGGAGGCTTGAGCAAGAACTCCAACTTTGCTTTGGGAAGACTACCAACTACAACAATATGCAAATCCAACAATGTGCATGAACTCACAAGCTGAAGGGATGAGCAATGTCCTGGAACATGTTTGTCAGGGCACATGGGGAGGTTAGTAAGTCACCGAGGGCTACAACCGAAAAAAAAGAAAAGGAAAATGCAGGAACCCTCAGGTCCCGGTCGTGATTTCAAAAAGCCCTTGCTCAGCATCTGTCCAGCCTGGATGATCCCAGTGTCCTGCAAATGATGATTGTGCAGTTCTTGAGAASTCAGCTTTGAGTATGAACAGGAGAGCCCCATTCTTACAGGACTTGAGACTTTGCATCTTGAGCTTGCCTAAGTCCAGGTGGGATCCAGAAATAAAATTTTGGGCATGGGGAACTTCCCACGATGTCTCCAAGGAAATTTCTGACCAGCCCTGGAATCTCTGAAAAACAAAGGCCTCTCACAGAAGCCAGTGAGATGAGGTGGTGGTGGGAGGTGGAAGGTGCAGTGTCTGCCCAGAGCAGAGCTGACACGCCTCCCACAYCCTCCCAGTGCGACCCAACTAATCCTGAAACCTTTTCATAAAACCACACAACGGTGGGATTGGAAAGTACCTCAAAGATCATGCAGTTCCACCATTCCCAGTCTTTCTGGCCAGGGCTGCTTTCACCCCATTCTCCACCCAGCCTGGGATTGGGATTGGGATTGGGATTAGGATTGGGATTGGGATTGGGATTGGGATTGGGATTGGGATTGGGATTGGGATTGGGATTGGGATTGGGATTGGCCAGGCCCCCATGCATGGCCTTGTTGAGTTTCAAGAGCTTTGCACAAACCCACATCTCTTGCCCAGGTTCCTCTGGATCCATCCCTTCCCTCCAGCTGGTGACTGCACCACACAGCCTGGTGTCACCAGCAAACCTCCCGAGACTGCCCTGGACCCCACTGTCCATGTCACCAACAAACAACACCAGTCCCAACACCAGTCCCAAGGTCTCCCCTTGGATGTGGAGCTGTTGACTGCATCCCTTTGAGTGTGCCCATCCAGCTGACTCCTGATCCACCAGATGATTCATCCATCAAATCCAGGTGTAAATCTCCAATTTAGAGACAAGGATGTCGTTCTTTTCCCATGTTCCTTGGGTTCCCATCCCTTGGGAATCACCCTTCCCTCTGCTCAGGAGAGATCTGAYCCAGGCCTTGAGCTCATTGGGAAGGTGCTGTAGGTGCTGAACTGATGTTTGCAAACCTGGTGGAGACCCCCTGTGTCTTCCCAAGCTTGGACCAAAAAAGAAGTGTCTACAGTCATGGTGTTTGTGCAGAAAAACTTCTCCTGTGTGGGCATGAGAGGGGTGGYCTTGGCTTAGGAGTCCACAGGTTGTGGATCCATCCTGGCTCAGCACAGAGATGTTTTCCTGTTTATCTCCCTCATGACCAGAAGGACATTGAGGGGCTGAAGCATATCCAGGGAAGGGAATGGGGCTGGGGAAGGGTCTGGAGCGCCAGGAGCAGCTGAGGGAGCTGGGAAAGGGGCTCAGCCTGGAGAAAAGAGGGATTAGAGGGGACCTTGTGGCTCTGCGCAACTCCCTGACAGGAGGGGGCAGCCGGGGGGGTCGGGCTCTGCTCCAGGGAACAGGGACAGGAGGAGAGGGAACGGCCTCAAACTGTGTCAAGGATTGGATTTTAGGGAAATGTGGATATTTGGGTCGGATRTTAGGGAAAATTTCCTCACAAAGAATTGTCAGGCATTGGAAGGGGCTGCCCAGGGCAGTGGTGGTGTCACCTGGAGGGTTTTAAAAGGATGTGGCACTTGGGAATGTGGTTTACCAGCAGATGTTGCAGTGCTGGGTTAATGTTTGGGCTCAGTGACCTTGCTGGTCTTTTCCAACCTTAAGGATTCCACGATTCCATGACTGTCCAGGTGCAGAGCTCACCAAACCCCAGTGAGCTTCAGGCAGCACAGCCTGGAGAATTCCTGTGTTTGCCAGGACTCGGTCACAGCTGAGAAAGCAGTTCCASGCAGACAGTTTTGGCTGTAGAGACCAAACCCAAAATCTCAGGTCCATCCCCTAAACTCTCCACTGTTTTGAGCCCTTGTTGGAAACCAGGAGGGTATTGATGGGATTTGCCTTAAGAAGCACCAATTACACTCAATTCTTCCCTTCCCAGAAAGCGCTCGGTGCCTTTTACAGCCGGGATGGGACGCAATCACTCCCCTGCTTTTGAAATGCAGCCACCACTTAAGAGTGCACAACAGGAAGCAAATCGCGTTCTATCTGATCGTAACTACCTGGGGAATGCAGGCAGGCAGGGCAAAGGAGACGAGATCTGGCCCCGGGGCACTGAGGTGAGGAGTTTTGTCTCTTGAGAAAGTCRCAGCCCCGATCTCTTAATGACTCCAAGGAATTAGGGCACTGCGTTCACATCTCCTACCCCTAACTTAAGGCACCGGGTTCAATATTGACGCAGATGGAGCGCTGCCACRGCGTGAATCACGTCCTGCCACTTCCCAAGCCATGGGACAGTCCTGGCGTTCCGGAGCACGCCTGACCCTGCCGAGCTCCGAGGAGCTCCCCGGGATGTGGCCGGAGGCGGTGTGGCTGCAGGAATGGAGAAGGAGTGCATGGAGATGGAGATAAGCAGAAGGAAAGCATGCACTTGTAATGGAAATGAGGGGTTATTAAGGTGCCATATAAAAATGCAGGAGATTTAGCGAAGATAGCGGGGAAGTGCCGTGTATTTGTCAGGTCGCCTCATTCCTCTCTGGGTGGTTCTGGTAGCAGGAGACGTGCAGCTCGCTGGGGCTTGAGGAGAGYCTCTGGAGAGTCCTCTGGCAGGAGGAGGTTAACAGAGACTAATATCTCCTGGAGATGTTAACTTCAGAGCATTTTAACCACTTTGTTTTCAGGGCAACACCAAACCAAGCTCTGGCTTTGGTTTGTTTTAATTCCTGCCTGCTCCTGAGTTTCCCTGCAGGGCCCAGAGTCTTGGATATCTGGTGCTGCCAGGTACCCCGTTCTGGACCCTCTTGGAGGGATTGAATATCAGTGAAAAAGGTGCTGAGACTTACTTTAGGGTTGTCCCTAAAGCAGAAGTGTCCACATCACTGGTTCCTTTTGCCAAGTGTTTCCTGGGAAGCTTAGCCTGTGAATCTGAGATTCTGAATGTCCCCTGAATATCCCATGCAGAACAACTCTGACCACTTGTCCCAGCACCAAACCCATGTGAGGTGCAAAAACATGGCTGAGTAATTTAATTTTGATAATCCAGGGGTCTGAGGATGATGTGACCTAAAATTTGCTTTCCTGTCGTGCCAGGGCTTTTTTTTTTTTTTTTTTTTTTTTTTTTTTTTTTTTGTGACTTTAGGCAAATCTTTTAGTCCCTCTCGGCTTCTGTTTCCTTATCTGCACACCTGAGAACAATCCTGCTTATCTCCTCAGGAGTCTGCAATGCTAAACTCAATGATGCTTTCAGAACTGTGGGCAGAAGGAGCTGGAGCCAACACAGA